CACTGGCCTCATTCACGCAATCACCTGCGCCAGTCGGCCCGACAACAGGTCCAGCGCTTCCGAGAGCACAGCGGTCGCCCTCCATTAGCGAAGGGACGATGGCAGGACCCAGAACTGCTCCCAATGCAGAGAACTGCCGAGTCGCCGAACTCAACGCTGTCCCTGAACAGGAGGCCGACGCCGAAGCCCCAGCACCTGGCCCACTACCAGGGGCAGACAAAAGACTGGTGGAAGCCCTTGTACTCCACATACCAGCATTCACATAAGCCAATGGGACAGAAGCAGGTCCCAACCCTGCAAAATTAGAACCATCATCTGAAATAGCACATCGACTCAATGAGAAAGGGCTCCCGCTGGCCTCCTCCACGCAATCACCAGTGCCAGTCATCCCAACAACAGGTCCAGCGCTTCCGAGTACACAGCGGTCGCCACTCGAGCCCAATATTCCTTCCATTCGCGGGGAAGGTCCTGCACTTTCCGAAACAACCATCATTCCACTAACACTTCCAACCATCACACTGAGCACATTGAACACAAGCGAGAACCTACTCGGCCGACGGCTTTTGCCGCTTGCACATGGAGAGGTAGCTCGTCTGCATCTTCCTGATCTTGCCACGCAGCACCTCGGCGTCATCCGAGGGTTGCGCAGGTATCCCTGCTGCATCCAGAGTAGCCCGCAGATCATCCACGTCCATGGACTCAACATGTGGCGCAGGGTCCTCCTCGGGGTCCTCCTCGGGCTCCTCGGGCGTCTGCGGTTGCTGCTGTGGCTCTGGGGTGGGTGGCTGCGCTGCAGGGAGTTCGGCGAGCTTCTTGATCGTGGCCGCCATCGCCTGCAGCTCTTCCAAGAGGTCTGGAGGAACCCCCAGCCCAGAAGCGACCACCCCCAGCTGCTCGACCGACACAGAGAGCGTGGGGAGCATTTGCCGCAACGAAGGAGGCCCTTCCCCACTGCCGTCGGGTGGCTGAGCCTTGGACATGGTTGCCCTCGTCTCACATTCAAGCCGCAGGACCTCCTCCTTGGCCTCAACCAAACGCGTGTCGAGGCTCTCCAAGACCTTCTGGAGCTCGCTGATCTTGCTCTGCTGCTCATCGCGGGCCTTCTGCAGCTGCGTTTCCTTATGCCGAGCACTTTGAAGCCGGTTTGCCAAACTGCGAGCCTGCTCCTCAACAGGTCTGTCAGCAAACAAGGCCGTCTCGAGGGCAGACTTCTCTTCTCGGTACCGTCTGAGCAGCTCCTCGTCCTGGGAAAAGCCTCCACTCGCCACTTGCTTGATGAGACCTTCCAGGTACTTGATCCTGCTGCGCTTGTCACACTGCTTAGCATCAGCAGCCCAAGGAGGAGGGTTCCCAGTACCTGAATCAGGAGAAGAACGCCTTGCTGCTTGAAGCTGTCTGACTTGCTCTTGAAGCTCCGCACACTTGGCCTCGAGCGTGGCAGACCGAGTAGAAGTGCTTGGAGACTCCGACTGCTTGAGATTCTCTTTGAAGCACACGGACTTGTGCAGGCTGCACTGGCGACAGTACATGACCCCTGCTTTGTTGAACCAGGGTTTCTTCGTGACAGCGTGGACGCAGAAACGACAGACCCAGTTCTCACTCTCATTCTGCCGCCGCTTCGCCGCCTTCGAAGACATGGGATGGCTCGGGAGCTCCGAGCCCCGTGGAGAAGCAGTTGCTGGGGCGAACCAGCACTGCAAAGAAACTGATCGGGCGCAAGCGCCCTCGCACTGCCGCGGTGTCAGCGGTGTCCGTTTCTGCCTATGCGGGCTCAGCCCGCCAAGACAAAGCCCTTGAGCCAAAATGGCTACGGAGGAGAAGGAGAAGGAGGAGGAAGGAGGAGGGAGGAGATCGACGCTCATTCGCGGGGGGGGGGGGGGGATGGGGGGGGGGCGGGCGGCGGCGGCGGCGGCAGGCGCGGGGCGCCAGGGGGGAGGCGCGCCCAGGGGAGAGGATGGCCCAGGATGGGAGGAGGAAGGAGAGAGAGGAAGGGGCCCTGGGACACACAAATGAATACACACAGATACAAGGAGTCCCCACATGTTTCCATAATTATGTTCTGGGACTTTGTCTTCCCCCCCACTTCCCATATTTCCCCATATTTTCTGGGAAATCGACGATCAATTGTGTCTGTGTGTTTTTTCTCCTCCTGCAGAGAGGACGGATGACAGGGCACCGGAATATCAGGAGGAGGAGGACGACGACGACGACGGGACCGGAGGAGGACGAGAGGGGGCGCCGCGAGGACCATGAGCAGCACGGCGGGGCTGATCACGATGACCATGCAGATGTGGATCAGGCATGGAAGAAGATCAGGAGGAAGATAAGGACGAGGACGGAGAGGAGGGATGGGGGGGGACCGGCATGAGGATCAGCAGCAAGCCGGGATAAGAGCCATACTTCAGAGGCTTCATCTCCGCATCTCTCATCCTCGCCCTGATCATACCACTTGTCCTTCTCATGTTCAAATAGTTCTCCTCGTGAGCTCCCTGTACTCATAGGAGAGGTAGGGGCGGAGGATGGGGAGGATGGGAGGGAGAAGAGGAGGTCACCCCGCCGAAGCTGAGATTAGTCTTACCTGCCGTGCCAGCCGCTGCAAGATGAGCATGCAGATTGAGGAGAAACGCGATGGTGGTGATGGGGATGATGAGCCCAGATAGAATAACTGTGACGGGAATGTTTCGGATGATGAGGGCGAGGGCGCGGATGACTGAGGGAGGAGGAAGGAGAGAGGATGGATGACAGAGAACGGCATATGAGGAGGAGAAGAAGGACGACGACGAGGACCGAGGATGATGAAAGTGGGCGGCGCAAGACCCAGCAGCAATACGATGAGGATAATAACGACGACAATGAAGACGTGCATAAGATATGGAAGAAGAACAGAGGAAGGTGTAGACGAGGATGGAGACAAGTGAAGGGGGGCGGCGTGAGGATAAGCAGCAAGACGGACGAGGACGAGGACGAGGAGGACGATGATCAGGAGAACGAGAGAAATTGAGGGCCACGAAAACTGGCATGATGATATGGAGGACGAAGATCATGAAAAGGCCAACGCTGCCGCGGAGGAAGAGCATGAGGATAGGGATGAATCTGACGGGGATAAGGCAAGTACTGCAAAAGGCGTCCTTCCCGTATCTTTCATCCTCGCCCTGAACATGTCACTTGCCTTCCTCTTCTTCAGATGTGCTCGTCCGCTCCCTGCACCCATGTGAGAAGCAGGGGCGGAGGGAGGGGAGGATAGGGGGGGTGGAGAGGAGGGCACCCCTCCGAAGCTAAGGTTGGTCTTCGCTCTGCTGTACGATGAGCATGCAGATGCGGAGAAACGCGACGGTATTGATGATGATGATGATGATGATGATGATGATGATGATGATGATGATGATGATGATGATGATGACGATAGTGATGATGATGATGATGATGATGCTGATGCTGATGCTGATGCTGATGCTGATGCTGATGATGCTGCTGCTGATGATGCTGATGCTGATGATGATGATGATGATAATGATGATGATGATGATGATGATGATGATGATGATGATGATGATGATGATGATGATGATGATGACGATGGGGCTAATGGGTCCCGATGAGGGGTGCTGGGGGGCTCAGCCACATACATGTACTGTAATGGTTCGTTTCTCTCCCTCCCTTTCTCTCTGTATATATATACATATACATATAATTTCTCCCTCTCTCTCTGTTTCGCTCTCTGTCTCTCTCTCTCTCTCTCACTCCATCTCTCTCTCGCATCCTGGAGGGGGGGGGGGAATGCGGGAGGAGGGACGATGGAAAAGCGAGGAACGAAGGAATCCAGAAGGGCGAAAGAAGCAGAAAAACGGGCGAGAAAGAAGAGGGACGAGGACGGCACGGGAGGGGGGAGAAGCGAGGAAGCAGGAGGGGGGGAAAGGGCATGTCGGGGATGGCAGGGGACGGAAGGAAGACGGTGAGAAGACGAGGGGGTGCGGAGGGGAGCGGTCTGAGTAATTATTAGTATGACCATGTGGCAATGTCAACGTAGGTGCGGGGGGGGAGGGGAGCGCGGGATGGCGGAGGGAAACTGACGATGAAGGAAGGGATGGGGGGAAACTGCTCCTCCTCCCTCCTCCCTCCTTCCCGTCTCCAATCAGGACCACTCCCTTCGATCAGCGTGAGCAACAGGAAGTGGAGGCTGACTTGAAAATGATCATGGAAAGGCCCCTACGTGCTCAGTTCCGGTTCGCATGCAAACTCTTCGCAAGCGTTTGTTCGATACCCCTGGGGAATGGTCGCTGTTCCCACGGGAAGGGTGAGGCCTCTCCCAGGCTGTGTCTTCCTTGCAAGAAAGAGTGTTCTGAAGGTCTGTCTGGTTTGAGCGAGTTCTGCGTCTCGTCATCGAGGTCAGATGACAAACAGAATCTGGTGGCGCCCGGGCTCGCCAGGAGCGACAGTCCTGGTCAGCCTTCCCGCATTGATCCTGAGCGAGCCAAGTTTGACGATTCCTGCGCAAGAGGCGGACGGCACCCAATCCCAGCTGGTCCAGGATCCCGGCTGGGTTCCTGTCTCCTCCCCCCCTCTTCCCTTCGCCGCCCCCCCCGCGTTCTAGTGCCCTCCTAGATTGGACCCGAGTAGATGGGGTCGGAGGATCGGGCCGCATCGATGATGCAACGGCGACGTCGGCGATGCATCGGCGCCATTGCCGCGGAGAAGATCGGGCTGCACATCGAGCCGCATCGACGATGCATCGGCGATGCGGCGCGATCCTCCGACACCATCCACTTGGACCCCCTCTGGGGCCTCCGACCTCTTCCCTTCGCCCTCCACCCCCGCACCCCTCCCCCCCTCACCCTCACGGTCGCCCAGCATCTTCGCAGGGGCTAGATAGGATCGCGCACGAGGCCAGCGTGGAGACAAGGCGGAAAGATGCGATGGCCAGGGGAGGATGCAGAGACAGGGGGCGAAGGAATGGAGAGAGACAGAGTGTGAACACCAAGTGTGCATGTGTGTGTGGATATTGGGTGGACCATTGGAACCCACTGCCAGCCCCACGCGGGGTGGCAGCGAGGAGGAGGGCATTGTTGCCACCTTGGAGCACACTCGCCGCCGGAGGGCCGCCCGATGTCGGCAGCCACCGGCGGCCGAGGCCGCCGCCCGCTGCTCCACGCACGGGGGCGGGGCCAGGGCAAAGGCCGCTGCGCGGGGCGGAGGAGCAGGCCTGGCGTTCGCTTCCTCGCCCCCCCCCCGCTCCCGCCGCCCCCCCTCCCCTCCGCCCCCCCGTCCGGCCCCCCCCTCCGATCCCTTCCTCTCTGGCCTCCGCCCCCCTTTCCCCTCCGCCCCCTCCGCCCCCTCCCCCTCCGGCCTCCGCCCCCCTCCCCCCTCTGCCCCTCCTCCCCCCCCCAGCCGCCCCCTCCGCCCCCTTCTCCCCTCTCCGCCCCCGGCCCGCCCTCCGCCCTCCGCCCTCGCCTGGCGGCAGCCGAGAGGGCTGCCCGACTGGAGGCAGGCCTGCCCGCCCGCCAGGGCGGAGGAGGGCTGCCCGAACGCCCCGGGAGCGGCGCGCGGCCGAGACGAGGCAGCCGCCCGCCCGCCCGCCCCAAGCTTCTCGTGCCGCTGCGTTGTTTCGGGCGTTGCTTCATGGGGGGGTTCCTCCTGCTGCTCCCACTCCTCCTCCTCCTCCTCCTCCTCCTCCTCCTCCTCCTCCTCCTTTTCATCCTCCTCCTGCTCCTCCTAGCCGTTTTGGCTCAATCATTTTGAGCTTGCTGTCACCGACACTTCAAAACGGCTGCGTGACAGCGGGCCTTTCTGGCTCGGGCACTCACTAGGGCGCACTTGCGATGGGCGGCGATCGTGGCGGTGGTGGCGGCGACTTCAGCCGCGGCCCCCGCTGGCAATGCCGCCATTGTGGGTGCAAGAAGAACGAATCTGACTTTCAATATTCCAAGCACTGCAAGAAGTGGTGGAACGCGCCTGTCGAGTCTGCCCCAGCAGACGACAGGACGGCTCGCGGTGATCCAGCAGCACTTCGTCGTACCACTGCTGGAGTCGCTGCAGGTCAAGCCGCTGCTGCACCAGCTGCGACGCCTGCCCCAGTGCCGCCCAGCAAGTCGGATCTCGAGCAGCTCGTGCAGTTGTGTGAGCGCACGGGCAACAACGTCATGCTGCAGCAGGCGCAGAAGGAGCTAGACAAGCTCAAGGCGTCGCCGGTGCCACCGCAGGAGAGAGCGGACAACGCGCACAAGGAGATTGCTAGACTTGAGAAGAAGTTGGACAAGGATCTCAAAGTGGTGCACGCTATGGAGCAGAAGTTGTCCAACCGGCGAGGCCAGCTGGAGTCTACTCTTGCAGAACTGGATAAGTACGACGTGGATTACAAAGACGCCATCGCGGAGCTGCACTTGTCGGTCGCGCAGCCTGCCGCTCATCCTTAGCCAGCTGGACCGTCTATCAACCTCAACGACATACTCGAGGGACGGCTCACAGGGCTGCAAGTTGATGATGGGGGACTGTTCGGGTTGGAACAAGTTGGTGTGGAAGTTTTTTCCGCATGACTTGGAGGAGGCGACCCGCCGCAAGGAGCAGATGGCGGAGCACATCAGGACGTGCTGCACGAAGCTCTTCGGCGACATCAAGCAGCGCGCGGAGGAGCACAAGGCGGCCCACAAGGCTCAGCAGGACAACTTGTTCGGCAAGAAGCGCAAGACGGATGACACGGAGGCCGCTGGCACTGCGGCTGCTGGAACACCTGAGACAGCCCCTGCTGAGGCGAATACCGCAGCAGCCAGCGCTGGTGGTGGAGCCCCAGCAGCAGCTGCCGTCGGCACGCCTTCTGCGGCTAGCCAGCCGCCGCCGTCTACAGCCAAGTCTGCGGCCGATGTCACAGCCGCTGCACGCGAATCGGTCCAGCGAGGCGCAGGAGCACCTGTCGTGCCTAGTCGGACCTATGGTTGCGAGGCGCACGGCACCTCGGACCACGAGTTGCCTGCCCTCCGCAGGTCGCCCGGGCGCTTCTTGAGCCCCACGGCCGGAGGACGTTCTCTCACTGCAGCTTTGCTGTTTGCCGCCGACCCCACGTGGTACTGTGCGGTGGCTCCTAGTGTGCGGTGGTCTAAGGAAGTCTGGACCAGCCTCACTGACGCTTTCGGGTTCGGCCTCAGCCTGGCCGAGTTGCGGAGGTCTTGGGAGTCCGTTGTCTCGCCCCCCCCCCACCCCACGTGGAGGAAGGTGGGTGGCCCTATTGGGGCCATGAGGTTGTCGGTGAAGCGTCTTGGGTGGCATATGCTGTCGTTCACGATGTTGGTCGACGACATGGGGGTTGAGGTTTCATTAACCTTGGTCTCGCCTGCCCTCCTGAAACGGCTCCTCCGGCGCGCCGTCATGCGTTCCCACGAACGAGCGCACGGGGACAGCCTTGGTCTCAGCAGGAGAGCGTGCCTGGATGTGCCCTTGACGGCCATGCCGTCCAGCAAGTTCACTCCGTGGGAAAAAGGCTGTATCCGTGGGCTGGTTTGTCAGGCCCCCTGGACTAAGTGCCGTGCAGTGGAGCACGGATATATCCTCCCTGACGTGCTCTGTCCCTTGTGCGGCCTGGAACAGGACACGATGTTCCATCGGCTTTGGATGTGTCAGAACCAGAAGCCCCGTGAGCTTCGCAAAGAGCTACTTGGCGACGATTTTCAACACGCTCCCTTGTCTTGGGAGGATCTCAGTGTGCACGACCAAGTATTGTACACGTACGGGATCATGTCTCATCCTGGGGATTTCTTTCCTGCACCTACTAGATATGAGCCTATATTTCATAATGCATGTGACCCTGAGCGTGATGACTATCATGTTAGAAGTAATATATTCATGGACGGGTCCTGCATTCGGTCGGTTATACGCGAGCTGTCACGCACGGGATGGTCATATGTGTCGGTCTCAGATTACGGGCAAGAGGCAAGAGTTGGGTCGTGTTTACGCTCCTCTCGCTCTCCCCATCCCACAGACAGCGCAGGCAGGTGAGTTTGCTGCATGCACTGCAGCGTGTCAGAATGCACTTGAGGGTTCGGTCGGCTTTAGTGACTGCCAGAACGTCGTCCAGCTCTGGTCGTTGCCCCGAGCCGAACACTTCTCGTTTAATCGTGTGCACGCTGAAATGTTCATCTGGACTGCGGACTCTAAGATGGGACCCATCCTTAAGGTCAAGGGTCACATGACTGAGGATGACGTTGCTGGCGACGACCGTTTAACTTTTTACATGGCGGGTAACGACCTCGCCGATCATTATGCTAAGCTGGGTGCCTTGGCACATGAGAAGCCGAGCCCTGAGCAGTCTGAGTGGCTCGATCGAGCCCTTTCTATTTCGCGTAAAGATAGTGCGCTCGCTGCCAGATTGCTCCAGCTGTGGCCGGCCTGTGATTTGTCGCAGGCTACTCGTGCGCAGCAGGAGCAAGTGATTCCAGTGCCCAAGGCTCGCCACTCCTGCCTGGGTTTTTTGCGACACGTTTTGGCAGTGCAAGCAATGTTTGAGGGTCTCCAGGCGCTGCTGGCCCCCGAATGGTGCATGCTCGACTACCCACAAACTCTATGACACCAAGCTCATTGAGCTGGGTCACAAGTGTATCGCTTTGTCTTGTTCTGGCGGCAGTGCGGTCTGCATATGCCTGAAGTGCAAGGCGTTCTCGACGGGTGGGTACGTGCGCTATTTGAACCAGCGTTGCAATGTTAAGCCGCATTGTCCCCGCTCGTCAAAACACTATTGGAGCCGAATCCTTGCTGGCAAGCACCCGAAGAGCGAGAAGATTTGGCTCGACGCGGGTGCTCTCAGTGTGGCACGGTTGTTTGATTAGTTGACGCTCGGCGGGCGAGTCTCCTGGCCGCGGCCACGGGGGCATGGCCCTGTCGCGTGGCCCGTCATTGCGGGCTGCTCCGCATGCGTGAATATTATGTGCGGAGCTCGTCGATGTCATTTAAGTGTCGTGCTCGACGACTGCCTAGCTGGCTGCCAGGAGGACCGCGATGAATCGGGGCAGAGCAGTGCAGCGGCAAAATCCTCCTCCTCCTCCTCCTCCTCCTCTTCCTCCTCCTCCTCCTCTTCCTCCTCTTCCTCGTCCTCCACCTCCAAAGAAGCGCGCCCCTGTCGTGCCCCCTCTGGGGCCCAAGGAGGGGCCCCTCTGGGGCCCGAGGGGCGCACCGCTCGCCACCCCCCCGAAGGAGCGTGCACCTCTCGTGAGCTTCTGAAGCCTCAGGGGCCCCCTTAGGGCACGAGAGGTGCACGTGTCTTCAACCCCCGAAGAAACGCGCACCTTTCTTCAACGCGCACCCCATTTGTCGCCCCCCCCATTACGCAGCGCCCGGGGTCCGCCTTCCCCCTCCTAGAACAAGGCGGGGTCACTGAACGAGGCGAAGGAACAGGCCTGGCGCTCGCCTCTTCGCCAATGTCCTGGCCTCTGGGTGCGGCTGCTTCACTGTCACTGCTAAGCTGTACAATTATCATGAGCAAAAGCTTGTTTCGGGATCGGTGGGGCACAGGTGCCGACGATCAGCATGCCTTTCAGCCCCCTTCCCCTCCTACCTCCTCTCCTCCTCCGCCCCAGGTCGAACTGTGGCACTTTTTTATCACACGAACTCTCAAGTCAAGGGCGCCTGGCATCCTCCAAAGCCAGGGGCAACCGAGATGGGGGTGGGGTGACAGCCGAAGGCGGCGCCAAAACTCTGCCAAGGGGGCAAGGGGGTAGAGAGCTTCTGTCCTTTAACCCCCTGGGAGAATGCTCCATATAAATTGGTTGTAAAGGTCCATGGGGGACGAGGAGGATGGGTGGCACTGGTGCAAGAGTTGCTTCGCCCTCGCCGACGCCATATGCCCACACGTCATTTAGAACAAGCGTATCAGGAACTTCTGCACCCCTACTCAACGCGACCCAAAGAGAATGTGGGCATGCAGGGCCCGAGACACGTCTGACAGCCTCGGTGAGAGACGGAGGGGGGGACTGGTGAATTCGCCAGCTGCTTCGCTCCTCGACGGTGGCACTGTTGGCATATCCATCCTCTGGCCACGCAATCCCAAACAGGACAATGTGCGCGAGGAGGTGTCGGGAAAGCAGCAACGAGAGCAATTCGCGGGAGGCCCCCATGCAGCTCCTGGAGGGGGGGGGCGCAAAACTAAATCTGACACAGATTCAGTGCAACAGCGTTGTGTAGTTTCACGGCCTGCTGGAATGCGTCGAGGCCAGCCTGGCTCATGTTGTTCGCCA